CAAAGATGTGGTGCTCCCACTGCTCCCAGCCTGGGGAGGTCTCTAGGCGAACATGTGTTTGGCCAACTGGGACTACTCAGCCGTACCGACCTATCTCTTTGCTTTAAAACCTTTTCAGATGTTTGGCTGTGGTGGAAGAGATGGGGTTTGAAAAGCAAAAGTTTCTCACAACGAATTTGTGCTGGACAGCAGAGATGTATAGATGTTTCTTTAACAGTGCATAGTCAGTTTGAATCTGATCCTCACGTAAGAGAGTGAGAGCAGGGGCAAAAATACCATCCTTTGTACATCTAGATTAATGTTTAAGGTTTCATTTAGGGTACCATACAGATTATTTTAAACTAAACTTAGCCTGAAGTATCTTGACTGCATATGTGTGTAAGTGCTTGTGCATGTGGGAGAGAGGTGTGAAAGTCCTACAGCTGTGTTTTCTCTCTGAAGACAGTATTGATTTCCAGAGATTTCAGTACTTACCTGTCTCTTTCCCATAGGAACGTCAACCCACGGCTAGGAGATATCCTACAGAAACTTGCCCCTTTTCTGAAGATGTATGGAGAATATGTAAAGAACTTTGACAGGGCAATGGACATGGTGAACACATGTATGCAGAGGTCCTCTCCATTCAAAGATGTTGTTCAGAACATACAGGTATGTTGTGAATCAGTGTAATATGTCTTGAAGATCCTAATTTATTTGTGTATATTTTTTACAAGTGCATGACAGACAGTGTTTAGCTACAAGACAATACTGCTCTAATACTAAGAATACACAACTTCAGTAGCAGGCCTTTCTTCTTTTTTTGCTGTGTGACAGATTTTTCACATAGGGAGCTTTTTCTCTGCTCACGTATTTAAGAGGAGTATCAGAAGTCACAGAATGAAACTTCAGCATTGGCCCAGCAATTCTGACTGCAAATGGCCATTTATAAACTCTTTCTGATTTCTCTTCCTCATTACTAATTTTAATTGTTTTTTAATAGATACATTTTCATTCTTTCTGAGGTGGGTGTGTTGGAGTTTGGGCATGTCACTGGCAGTGTCAGCTGTTGGTCTGATTTTTCTGAGGCTGCCAAAGTGGCACACAGCTCTCAGGGATCACAACTCAGCAGGAGGATGCTTCGCCTGGATTTTCCTGTATATTCTCTTAATTATACAAAAAGCTGTGTGGGGAGGGGGGAAGAGCTCTGCTGCTGCTGGCATATCTGTCAAACCTCTCATTCCCTCTCAGGCCCTGGGCCAGCTGACGTGGTGCGGCAGGCTCCAGCATGCTAGTAGGCATCCCTCCGCCAATGCTGGGAAAGCAGATACTGTCCTTTGGGAGGGGAGGGCTGGCAGGGAGCAGGTTACGCTGAGCAGGGAGCACAGCTGCCTGCCCTAAATGGGAGGATTGTGGCTGGGCCAGCTGTCAGGAATCAAGTAATCCTCTAGCAAGCTGGGAGGGGAGAAGCCCTGCATGGAGGGTCAGGGCTGCTGGCCAGTGACTCAGACAGAAGCTTGGAGAAGGGCGAACTGGGGAAGGTCTTCTCCTAGCAGGCTGTCACTCCATGTGGCTTTTCTTAACCTTTTTCTGCCTGAACCCCACCTGCTCTCACCAAGATTCTGCTCAGAGAGCACTGTAAAGGAAAAAAAAAGTGCACTGGCATTTTGCTGTCTTCAGTTGGTGCCAAGCCACTGACATGACTTTCTGAAGTGTAAATCAGTTTGTGACTCTTTTCCCTGCAGCGGAGGCATCTGCCCACTCTAAAATTCATCTCTCTCTTCCCACCACCAAGCTATCAGCACAATTTGTGTTAGCTGTCAGTCTGTGAAACTGGTCTGCAGCTGTCTGAGACCATAAGTATTTTTTCTGTTGCTTGAGCAAAACATTGACAGGCAATGCATATAGGAGATGCAATTCTGAAGCCTACTGATGACAGTACTTCACTGTCATTTATTTTAGTGGCACCTTTTGCTTCTGTCAGTGGTTGTAGCTGTAGGAGGCAAAGATTTGACCCAGAACACTTAGTCTGCTCATATGACCTACCTCTGTGCTATCAAAAGTCACAGTTATTTTTCAAAATAGCAGCTGAAGTCTGCTGTGATCTTGCAGTAAGGCACCATCCACCTAAGCTGTCAATGGATGTACAGCTTAAGGCATTAACAATTATTAATTATGCTAAACTAAGGAAAACAAAATCAAATGGTCCTTGTAAGTGAATGACTATGACTTATCAAGTTTGCTTCAGCTAATCTTGAAGATAAACATACTTTCTGTTCAGTTCACATCCACGTCCTTGACAGTTGGTGAGTTTATTAGGACTTTCCTTTTGTCAACTTTCTCCTTATGCCGTCACATAAGTACTTTTTAATATATATTCCTGTGTTTTGGATTGTCACATGAATTAAACACACAATAAACATTTAATCCTTTCTCTAATAGAGTCATTTGAATTGCAGTGTAAACTCTGTAAATGTCTAAAAATTGCATAGCATCAAACTTTTCTTATTTGGAAGAGTTTATTTTGTCACTGCTGACTTTTTAGAGAGGATGCACTTGGCATGTGAATACAACTGTCATGAGCCTTGAAGTGACTTCCTCTGCTTCCCTATTGCTGTTCAGTGTTAAGGTTCATCCTATTGCAGGAATAAAAAGACAATGCAGAAGGTTATAGTAAGTGGATTTGGGAATGTAAACCAAGTTCTAATAGTCACTACTGCAGTTCTGTGCCCCTTTTAGTTCTTCCTGGAATCTCTGATTCATTCCTTTGCAGTTGTATTTTCAGGGAAATATGGTGCTGTAAAACTCTGAGAGAAAATAAATTAATCTTATCTCTTACAAACAGAAATACTGTTCACCCTGCTACACTGTAACAAGATATTTTTAAGAGCAAATTTACATCTTTGAGTTTCTGGAAGGATAGCTAATATTTTTCTATCAGACATTCATCTCATCTTCCAGGCTTTGCTTTGAGAATTGGGTGAGTCAGCAGTGTGTCATGGACTGTAATATTTATGAGGAAAATTGCAAATACCTGAAACTAGCACCTTTCTCTGAGAAAAGCATACTGAAATTAATGTGATTGTTGAGGGGTTGCTTACACTAACATGGCATTAGTGAGCTGATGTAAAAATAATGCTATGGAGAAGAGTGTGTGTGGTTAACATGCTGATGTGGGATTCAGGAGTCAGATTACATCACTAACAGAAACTTCCTGTATGCTTTAAAAAAAGTTACTTATTCTTACTGTGTTTCTAATTTCTCCTGCCCTCTTTTAAATAGAAAAGCCCTTCACAGGGATCCTGTGAAAATAAGTGCACTGCAACGCTCAGTACCATTGCAAGCAGAGCAGATCTGTACCTTATTGGGTAATATTTAGTGTAATCAGTTTCATACTGATTGGTCAAGTGAAAAAAAAAAAGAGAACTTGAGGCAGCTCCTTCTTCAGAGGTGGTGTGTGAGCAGTGTATCTGCTGCTGGTACAGTAAGCTCTAGCAGGCAATATATCCCCATGGGGTTTTTGATTTTATATAGTCTTTCAGGGGAAAAATGCTGCATAGGGCCATGGATGGGAAGAGCTGTTCTGAGCCTGTGAAGAAATATGCAAAATCTAAAAGAAGATTGTTGCATTTCTGCAGAAAATGCCAGACATGGGAAAAAGGGTTACGTGAAACCTGTCAGCTCTGATATTGTGCTCGAGGGTAGGAAGGCTTTGCAGAGGGATCTGGACAGGCTGGATCAATAAGCCGAGGCCAATTGTATGAGGTTTAAAAAGGCCAAATGCAGTGTCCTGCACTTGGGTCACAACAACCCCACGCAGCGCTACAGGCTTGAGGATGAGTGGCTGAAAAGCTGCCTGGTGGAAAAGGCCCTGGGGGTGCTGGTTGACAGCCGGCTGAACATGAACCAGCAGTGAGCCCAGGTGGCCAAGAAAGCCAGCAGCATCCTGGCCTGTATCAGCAATAGTGTGGCCAGCAGGAGTAGGGAGGTGATCGTGCCCCTGTACTTGGCACTGGTGAGGCTGCAGCTCGAATCCTGTGTGCAGTTTTGGGCCCCTCACTACAAGAAAGACATTGAGGTGCTGGAGTGTGTCCAGAGAAGGGCAACGAAGCTCCGTTGGAGAACAGGTCTTATGAGGAGTGGCTGAGGGAACTGGGGTTGTTTTGTCTGGAGAAGAGGAGGCTGAGGGGAGACCTTACTGCTCTCCACAGTCACTGAAAGGAGACTGTAGTGAGGTGGGGGTCG